ACACACACACACTGACAGGGTCGTTGCAATATGCGTTTTCGCTGCCTGTTGCAGCGCTCTAGCGCTCCACGGCAAAAACGCATAAAAACGCATAAAAATCGAATTAGGAAAAAAATTACTTTGAAGTGTTAAAGTAACAGAAACGGACATTCGAGAACTCGATTGGTACCGATGCTCGAAGTCGCAGGCGACTGAGTATTTCATACAAAGTATCATCCTGAAAAATCCATACACTAACCTATTCAATGTAACAAAGTAAGGCGGTAAAGTAGCTAGAACTTTTCAGATGAGGCAGTGAGCTCACTGGATTCCACAGCCTCAAAATATTCAGTTTTTAGCGCACTTTGTTCTGAAGATGTACACTAGACTAATTTTGGGTCTGTAATCACGGATCAGGTGATGGTGAGTTTTGGCAGCTGATTTACGCGTATTTAGCTCAATCAGTGTAGTGAACTGAGCCATTAAAACTTGGGTTTACGGTTAATGTAGTTCTTGAGCTATAAAATTAGATCGAACTTAGGTGTGAGAATGACTAAATTATACATTAAGACGGATATGAGATCCGCAATTATGTTCCCAAAACTTCGTTCCAAAAAAAATTCCGATTATGTTCCCAAAAATGTTCCAAGTTCTACAGTTTTCAAGATAAAACAAGTAGTATGGTGGAAAGACAGACAGACGGATCATCTCGCCATAACATGTTTTGCACAGATAATACAAGGCTGTACCGAAACTACACATCATACGCCTCTGGAAAAGTATGAAGCCAAAATTGAAAGAAAAAGAGGATCTCTAAAAAAATCTGAAAATTAATTGCCTGGAAGAATAAAGTCGGATTCGAAGGTCAATTCCTGGAATCTCTAGAAGAGAGAGAGAAGAAATCTGCAAATGGGCCGAGGAACAGCACGCTGCAGAATGATGCAGCCTCTGGCAAGACTGCTTTCTTATCGAAGGAGTGCATAGAAAGCAAGATTGTCGGAAGCAATTATTGGGTATGCTAGCATCAAGTTAACACTGGCATAAATCAGTAGATTATAAACAGATTAATCCATCAAGGGTGGATCCGAACAAACGTCACTTAGAGCTACAACAAACTTCAGTTTTTTCAAAAAAAAAAAAAAAAATCCAGAACTACCGTCACATTCTGTTTGAAATCTAAGCAGAAGTATGGACTTTCGTTGATAGCCTCACAGTTGTCTCTTTTGTCCCCCTCAGTTTCCGGAATTGTTCTGAAAAGAAAAAAGCCAAGTTAATCATAAACTTCTCATGCAAAATGCTGTGTGACGAAATTTAGTGAGAAACAAATCTAGACAGTGACATCCAGCCTTACAGATACGATCATGCATTTTCGCACGATTCCATCCTGCGGAGAAATCGCCTGTACCGGGACGCAACTACGGTACTGCACTTCGAACATATGATGCACCTGTGCGCAGGGCATACGCTAAAGCAAAAGCTAATAAGCTTTAGCAGAAAAGTATAAAATTCCAGCTTTCTACCTTAACTGACTGGTGAAATCGCTTTTCGTTATAAATATCTCTGACATGTCCAAATGAGCCACACAAGCACATGTTTTATCTACGAGCCTATTTGTGGACGACAAATATTCCCGTGAAGACAGAGCACTCAACTCAATACGATTCCCAAGACGGCATTTTGCCAACAATTCCTGGAGTTTATTCTGACGTGTTCGTATGCTTGACGCAGTAGCTGAATGTGAAATTCTTTGCTCAATATACGCGCAGAATATCCACTTCAATCTTCAACTGCCTATCCTGCCTGGTTCCCCAAATAGTTTTTCAGCTAAAAAACTTACACTTTTTTAGGCGCCCATACGTGTGAGACCTAAATGCACATAAACACTGATTTTAGCTGTTTGGATAGCACGTGGGTTAGGAAAATCTTTGTAAAATTCTGGTTTCCTAGCTTCTGCAGCTGCTAGGCTACAAGTGGGTCACAAAAATGTTATATATATATATATATGTGCGTATATATATGTAATATATATACATATATATGTATACATATATATATATATATCTACAACCTTTCGACATGTTTTTGCATTGGCATCGATATGGAATAACTGGCCAACACACGGGCTGCCCGTGCGAGGATGAATTTTTTGCACACCTCCTCTCAGATTTTTGTAGCTAACGGCACTAGTTTTTCCTGCAGATGCTTTTAACTAAAAGAATTTCAGACTGGCTGCCACGACTGTCAGGAAACGTTCCTTCAAAATTCCAGTTTTCTAGCTCCTTAAGCTCCTGGGAACAACTTGCCCAAAAAAAATTTCACGGGTCCGTACGTAGGTATCGCGCTTACCCAGGCTGGGTTTGAGCATATTAATACCCACTTGGACGGGGAATATCCCTTTAAGATTTCAGCTCTCTAGTTCTCAGATCCTCGAGTTATCAACTTACCCGAAAAAAAATTTCACGGGCTCCTACGTGGGTACCACGCATACCCGAGGACTGGTTTTGAGCTCACTAACACATACTTGGATGGGGGCATCCCCTCAAAATCTCAACTTTTCAGCTTCTCTGGTTTCCGAGTTAGCAGATTGCCCGTAAAAAACTTTGGCGGGCCCGCACGTGGATACGACACGGGTAAGAGCACCCATTCTGGGGGTGAGGGCCCGTACACGCATGTAGATTAAGTTCCTCAAGTTTCAGCTCTGTAGCTTTTGTGGGTCTCGGGTTGAAAAATCGGTACAGACGAGCACACAGACACACACACACACACACACAGACAAACCCTCGTCAATATGATTTTCTGCATTGCATAGCTGCAAAAAACGCATAAAAATGAATCACTGAAACAGATGGTGTTCGTTTTTTTGCTGTTAATAAAGCGAACAGGAGGCCAGAATGCAACAGAAGGGAACAGTGGATTTTTGTTCGGCTTTTCATTCCTTCAGTTCGTCATCAACACACTCGCATTTAAAATGCATGCTGCAGTTCATCTTTAAGGTACTTCCCTCAATGCCATCAGACAGTATCCAGCAGCCACTTTCAGCCTACTTCTTTTTTTCCCTCTGTCCCATGCGTTTTTAACTCCGCATCACCTACAATTCCCTCGCTGTATTAGTGTGTTGTTTGTTCATTTACAGCAAACACTAACGCTGTTACCCTTCCAGATTCCAAAACATTCCTCTTTTTACCAGGGTATCGTAGGCAGGGCTTCAAGCATGCGCCAAATGGTAAATGTATATCTGGGTGGTGCAGAATGCTAACAGAAAGCAGCAGCAAACCACATATCTGACAATGAAATTCACTCGCCTGCTCGTGCTAAAAACGGTTTAGATGTACTGCCAATACGCGAAATTTGGCATTTTTAAATTTTGCCTTTCAACGCAGCTTTGCTACGATTTTGCCTTCCGACGCAGCTTTGTTGGCATACAACTTTTCTAATCCCTGTAGTTAGGCCTAGGGCCCTTTGAAGACCAATTTTTTGATCAACCGCTCAAAGTTTTCACATTCCATTTCACGCTGTGATTTTGGCACTTCTAAAATCGAAAACAAGACGTTTTCCTCTCCCTCTTTTTTTTCTGTGGTATAAAATTGCTACCTGCACAAAATTATGTGATAACAAAATTATGTAATAACAGGAAGGCAAGCCGTCACCGGTTTAGATAAATTTCAGCACGAGTCGAGGCTCAGCCAAACACGACCTTTTTGCACAGAGAGTTACAAATCCTATATACCAAGTTTCGTTTAGGGGTGTCTCTTTGCGACCGTATAAGCAATCGGACTTTCCGTCAAATAAGCGTCTTGCAAGATACCATTGTAACAGTGCGAAAAAATAAAGGCCGTCAGGCAGGACAAGTTGCTCGCCTTTCCAGCAACTGGTGGACGTCGCTCATTAATGAGTGGTACTGCTACAAGGCAAACGGCTATTCAGCCGACCTCTGAAGAGTAAGTATACATACATCGAACAGGCAGCTGGTGCTAACTGGAGGCATGCAGTTCAGGATCGAAGGGCCTGGCATAGCTGCACTCAGCGTGTGGAAGCATCCCACTAACATCACTAACGTGAGATATCCACAGTGATAACCCGGACGGTCTTGGTATTAGCTTCCGCGTGCGTACATGAAATGTAAGGGAGATATGACGGTTGGCCTTAACAGGGAACATCCTATTAAAATTTCAGTTTTCCTGTTTGGTTTCCGAAATCGTCTCCCTATCAAAATACCTCTCAGAGATGCCTGTACATGAGAAATACAAGGAAGCAAACGTACGTTGTGCTTGGGAGACGCACACAACGATAGACTAAGTTGCCAAAATTTCAGATTCTTAATTTTCGTAAATCAGGTCGAAATATGCGGAGAGACAAATATACGCATGCAGGATCCCGAAAGTACGCGCTTTGCATCATTGCTCCAGCACAAAACATAAAAATTGGAAATTCGCTCTTTCAAAATGTGTCCCATACGTCCAGGAATTAAAGAAGCGATCAACCGAAGAATTTTCGAAACATCGCTTGTACACACTGAAAAGGGGAACAGTAGGACGCAGATCACCACAGTAGGTGGAACCGCAGAGTTACGCCTAGCGCTTGCTGAATCTCAGTAACATCAGACGCTGAGGGACGAGGCGGGAGAGAAAGGGGAGGGGAGTGAGGGGCCCAAATATTTTTGACCCTCATGATGACTGGCTGGCGCACTGCTGAAAAATAAAACAGAAAAAAACCTGCCTCCATCTGTTTCCCTCGTTAACACCAATTTTTTCGTCTTGTTCTTGTAATTTTCTTCGATACCTTCGTATTTCCGGTGGAAAGTTCAGATGAAAATAGATCCGTCTCAAGTAGCCGGGGCCGGGCCATATGGCTCGCAAGTCAACCAAAACACGACGAATTGCAACGTATCTTACCTGATAATCACCAAATTCAGTCATACAACTCCAATGAAGTCTTCACTCCCGCGCAAACTCCTTAGTTCGACTAACAGCAATTGCCACAAAAAAATCCAGTTCGGCCTGTCACTTTCGAGACATAAGTAGCAGTTACTGAGCGTAAAGACTACTAGCGATCTTGCACCCCAGTGAATTAACCCAGAAAAACGCTTCTGAAGGGCTGTGGGGAGCGAGCGTGACGCAAGCAGTGTCTTAAGTAATTTCGTTTAGCGCTAAAGGGCAGCTTAGCAAACTTCGCACTGACAGTCTGAGCAGTACTGAGCAGTAATCCGCGAATATCTCACCTTCATTGTAACTATTGATACGGGTGTGTACCGCACTTTGCCGTTTTCTTGGTTGACATTGTTTTTTGGTGGAAATGCTGTAACACACATGTACACTGTAAAAAGCGGTGTAAGCACGAAAAAGCAGTGATCAACACAGCTCTTTTCAACACTAACTTACAAAACAAAAATCGCTTGGCCTGCTATTCGGGACTATCGATACCACTTCCCCGCAACTGCACGCCTTCCTGCTATCAACGGACGTTAAAAACACATGCACAGCATCTCCTGGTAAGCCGTCGAAGTGTGACGACTTTCTGTTTGCAAGTGTTAAACTTTCAAGAAAGCAAAAAGTTGCTGAGTTAAGCATGCTCGAAACATGCTCATCCAGCAAATTTCACTACACTTTTATAACTGTCAGAGAAAATGAAATTACTTTTCCACAAGAAAATATAAAAATGTATTTTTTTCGATCTGCACTTACGCTCTGAAATGGCAAATCGCACGGCGAAAAAATCGCGATCATGCTCAAAATCTACGAACATCAGGTCCGTGATTGTATCGCACGATCGTATCAGCTGTATTGATGCCAGGCAAAATTTCTCCTCAGCTGGCGTACCGGAGAAAGGTGTACGAGAAAAATGGGACATAAACTGTCCACCAAAAAAACTGCCACAGTGAACTGCTTCCAAATACTGATACAGATGAGCTGGCCTAAAACACTTTCGTCACTCACCATTCAATCCAAAACATCTTCAAACACTTACACTTTTTTCAATGCGTGTTTCACGTAGTTTATTGGCAAGCAGCGATACTCTGATACTAAACATCAATAACTGGCCAGCGCACCGACTGTTGGTGCGAAGATGCATTTTCTACATAGTTCCCGGCAGATTTTTGTCTCCAAAGGCACTGTTTTTTTTGGCAGATGCTTCTAACCAAAAGAACTGGGGCTGGCCACTAAGACTGTAAGAACATATTCCCTTGAAATTTCAGCTTTATGCCTTTCTGGTTCCCGAGTTAGCGACTTACCCGTCAAAAATTTTTACCAGCTCGCACTTAAGAACAGCGCACAGCTGGAGGCTGAATTTGAAGTCATTAGACTGTACTTGGACGAGGAGCATCCCCTTAAAATTTCAGATTTCTAGCTTCTCTGATTCTCGAGTTAGCAACTTATCCGCAAAAAATTTTCACGGACCCGTATATGAGTCACGTAGACCTGGAGGCTGGGTTTGGACTCTTTAATTTCTACGTGTGCGGAAAACATTCCCTTAAAATTCCAGCTTTCTAACTTTTCAGTTCCCCGAGTTAGTAACTTACCCGTAAAAAACACTTACGGGTCCGTACGTGGGAACCAGACAAACCTGGGGGCTGGATTTGAAGTCACTGGATTGTATGTGGACAGGAAAAATCCCCTTAAAACTTCACTCCTAGCTTCTCTGGTTTTCGAGCTAGCAGCTTACCCACCAAAAAAAAAAAACTTTTACATGCCTGTAAGGGGCGTCCATTTTAGGGATAGGAGCGCGTACATGCGTGCAGATTAATTTCCCATAGTTTCAGCCTTGTAGTTTTTGTAGACGAAAAATCGGTATAGAACATCGCATCGACTATTAAAGCATTACTTTTTAATTAAACCATGTCACCAGTTTTGTTGTACAAGTGCAAGTCAAACAGCATCATGCTTGCTGAGGGAAAGAAGTCAGTAGCTGCCCAGTTAGCCATGAAGCAACGTAAAATAAAAAAACGGCAGCTGCTCAAACTAGAAAACCATTAAACAAGGTAGAAAGTCAGAACTTTCTTGTGTCGGAAGAAAATAAGCCAAAATGTAGACCTCTACAGGTTTACACGGAAAAGTCATTATAAATGCATATTTTGTAAACTCACAAGCAATCCTCAGAAAAAAACTTCTTGTTAGTTGCAAGTAAAATAGCACTGCTCGGCCCGCTGAGATATTCCGCGACAATTTGCTGGAAGTTATTAGCAATTTTGAACAAGTCCTTGTTCCATTCATTAGAACTGACCTAAACAATACATCAGTGTGAATTAGAAATTAAAAACATACGAAAAAAGTGGATAAAGTTCTGAACAATTCTACCAAAAACAAAAATCCCAAAAAACTGATACGACCATTAACTATTTTTATGCGTTTTGTGCCTACACAAAACGCATACTGTCACGGGGTTGTTCGAGTGTGTATGTGTCCGATACATCTTGTCCACAACTTTCAACTCGGGAACCACAAGAGCTAGGAGCTGAAAATTTAGAGGAATGCCCCCCTCCTACGAGCGATTCAGGAAATTTAAATTCAGCCTTCCCATGCCCACGAGTAACACGTATAGCTCCGTAAATGTTTTGGCGGGGGAATTATTATCTCAGGAACCACAGAATCTAAGAAATTGAAGTTTCGGAGGAATGTTCCCTGCCCAAATGCGACCCCCCAAATTTAAATTCAGTCCTCCCGTGCCTGCGAGTATCGCGTGCAGGACAGTGAAACTTTTGGCGGGTAATTATTACCTTAATAACCACGGAGTCTAGGAAGCTGAAATTTTAGAGTAACGACTTCTCGCCCACGTACGGCGTTGCAGATTCAAACTCATCGTTCCCGCGCTCTCGGGTTTCATCTGCGCCCCGCGAAAATTTTGGCTGAGGAATTACTATCTCGAGAACTATAAAGCTAGGAAGCTGGAATTTCAGCGTGGCATCTCCTGCCCGCATACGACTCTACAAATTTCAACGTCCTCGTGGAAGTTTTGACAGGAAGGCCATTAAGTCTGGAGCCAGAAAAGTTTGGAGACTGAAAATTTCAGGAGAATGTTTCCTGCTAAACTCGGATTCATTCCTTAAGTACGCCGAGTCTCACGTATGACCACGTAAAAGTTTTGTCTCGAAGATCACTCAAAAGCCAGAAAATTAGGAGACTGAAATTTTGGAATGATATTCACCTTTTGAGGTTTCAGTTTCAGCTTTCATATACCGGTACGTGAAATTCTAAAACTTAGGAACTAGACATTTCAACTATTTTTGCGCAGATCAAACCGCAAAGTAATAAGACGTTAGTAACCAATCGTTCGGTGGATAGAACTGCACAAAACGCATGATCTTGCCGGCTGCTCCGGTGCGCGCCGTTATTTACTAATAATTCCTTCGGTTAATTTTTACATTCTTGAATCCGAGTTTTGCTAAATTTTACGACTGTAAGTGGAATCTGAGGCCTTCCCACCCAATTTTTCAAACTTTTCCAAAATAACAACTGCAGAAGAAACCGCTCACTTTTTGACATTTAGCATGTGTATGCTTCACAAAAACATATTCATTGCAAAAACCTCATACGCTTGCAAAAAAAGCTCATTTAGGTTGCAACTAAAATAAGCGAAACTAGACTTAAAATCCACAGTGAGAGAAAACCAAATAGCGAAGAAAAGTAATGCTCCCAATCTAATCTGAAACTCGAGAATCATTCCGTTGAGCTCGTTACAGATGTATCTACTGCAGCAAACAGTGCAAATAAATAACAAGCTGGGTCTGAAGTCAATCAGAGACAGAAGAGCAGGATGGATAGCCTTCAGTAAGTTATGAGACGTTTTTTCCAACATTAAGCTAAATGTGAAAACAGCACTTCTCAGCCCCACCTTGTTACCAATTTTGTTGTCAGGAAATGAAATACTGCGTTTGCCGAAGAGAACTCAGTCGACAGCACACCGACTGCCGATGCGAGGATGCGTTTTTTGCACAGTCCCCTTGCAGTTTTTGTTGCTAATGGCAATGTTTTTTCTGGCAAAAGCTTCCACATAAGAGAACTGAGAGTGGCCATTACAGCTGTCAGAAATTATTACGATGACTCTTACTTTATGCCCAAAAAAAATTCAGCACTCTAGATACTTTGGTTGCAGGGTTACGTTAAATTTCACGTGTTCGTACGTAAATGGCAACGTCAATGCTATTGACGTGTGCGCTTGCTCAAACAGGACCCTGAGTCATGCCCAGAAAATTTCAGCGCTCCAGATGTTTTGGTTGCGAGGTTACGTCAAATTTCACGCGTGTGCACGTTAGACGTACGCGAGACATGAAAGGGGCGTAAAAGCCGTCTTTACGTCCACCTGATCAAAGGCTGCCGCCGGCTATGCTTAGAAAGTTCCAGCCCTCTAGATGCTTCAATTCTGAAGTCATAAAAATGCCTGCGTGAAATTTTCACGCGCCCCCGCAGGTGAGATGCAAAGGGGCTGAAAAAATCAGTTTGCTTTCATGGGCATATCAATGGGCAACAAGTAACGCTGCAAAATTGCAGCTCCCTGCTACTTCTTGTTCAGCTTAAATCTGGAATTGGCATGACACCAGTTTAAATTTTGACGTGCACGTACGTGAGACCTAGGGATGTATGAAGGGTGAATTTGAAATCTTTGGATTAGATGCGGGCCAATGAACATCTCTGTGAAGTTCCAGTCTCCTAACTTGCGTCGTCCCCGAAAACGCTTTCCCGGCAAAAAAAAAAAAACTTCCACGTCTCATTGCGTGAGAAAGACGTGGACCTGAGTGCCCATTCTGAGGACAGGAGTCCGCACGTATGTGTAAATTAAGTTACCAAAGTTTTAATCTTGTAGCTTTTGTGGATGAAAACTCGTTACAGACGCACACACAGACACACATACATACAAACATACCTACACATACACACACGCAGATAACCCCTCGACAATATGCATTTTTTCGTTGCGCAGGTGCAAAAAATGTACAAAAAGTTAGCAGTGATCGAACGGGTCGTGGAATGATGCAAGACCGATTATAACTAGTTGAAGCACAGTGAAGGACAGCAGTTTTGGTCTGCAGTGAGCGACGTTAATAAGGTCGCGTGAACCAAGGAGATTTGAGCCAGTAATGTAAGAAATGGATAATGAGGACCATTGAATGGTACCCATGCAGTGTTAAACGAACAGAGAGAAAGACTGCCAGTATGGTGGAAAGGTTCCCTCGAACACCTATATGCAATTACGTGAATTAAAGCAGACGAAATGGAGAAACTGGTAGCTGTACGAATGGCTAGATGGAACAGGGCGACGAAACAACTGGTTACAGTACTTTGTCGAATGGTCGGGAGCGACTGCTCCGGGAGTTAAGAATGTAAATTATGGTATTTCGGTTATAAAATGCCGTTATGCTGGCCGGAAAATGATCTATGGCGAACAATGGAGGGGCATTTAATGTACTAGCAGTAAAAATGCGATGTGTTAATTCAACCACACAGACTGTCAGTCTTTTCCTGCGTACTCGCTCAATTCCTAACAAACATTCGAAAAAATATTTTGGTTTACAGTGGTTTGTTAAAGACAAAACGCATGGCACATATCAAAACTTGCTCTTAAGTCGAACTCAGTCCATGGATCACCGTAATCTTGCAAGCCCATTTCACGTCGTATTTTCGGTCCTTTGACATTAACACCACACCACAAACTGTCATTTGCCTCCTGAAAAGGCGTCAATTTAACATTTTGCAGTTGAATTCACGCTGTTCTGATTAAATTCCAGCCCAATGACCGATTTCTTAACGGTTCCATTGAGCTCTTCGTGTATTTTTCTTCCCAAACGAGAACTTCTGGTGCTCTCTCATTGAAGACCTCCCGTCTGCAAGATTATCTGGAGAGCGTTTTTTTGCCCTGTTACAGTGCAGGAACAAACAAAAGCAGACATGACCTGGTCAGTTCCCCATAATCGGTGGAGTAACAGAAGAGGGCAAGCCGGTTGGCGCTTGCATTCTCACCTGAGTATTGCCAGGCTTAGTCCATCTTTT